AGAGACAGAGTGGTGAACAGAGCAGGCAGATCGATGAAATACACTGCTGAGGGTAGCAGCAGGCGAGTCAGGAGAGGTCTGCCGTTCCATGTGGGACACCTCCCTGGCCGGGGTTTGAACTTGTGAAGTGGCTGCATCTAGCTTCATAGTGCTGTGCTTTAATCCATTATGCCACCAGGGAGGGATGGTGATTTTCACTTGTTTTGACTGTGTAATTATGCTCGGCTTCTCTAAGTAAAATGAAACTAAAATCTTGCTTCTACCCTTGCTTACTAAACATACTTTATAAACAGGACTAGCATTAGAGTCTGTTTAAGGAGATAATAGTTTATGATTTGGATATTATACTGTCTTGGTGAGTTGATTCTGTCAAAATTGTCCAGATTACTGTATGTACTCAGAAGAATCCTCTTGCTATCTCTCATAAATCTGTTTGGCTATGCTATAGTTTAGTCACATACAGTTCGAAGTATAGGCCTTTTTTTTTTTTTTTTTAAAATTGGTGGTATGGAACATTGCCAGTGTACATGATCCACCTCACAGAACTATTAGGATGAAGTTGATTATTAAACTTAGCTTAGTTTAGTTCTTTAGAAATAGTTGTTTTTTAAGAAATTCATGTTAGATGTTTCACGTTTGAAAATAAGTCATCTCAAATCAGCTTTATTTCTGATTTCCTTAATTTTCCTATGTTAACTAAACATTCAATACTTTTAAACTGAACTAGTATTTATTTTTACTTTTGTTTCTGTTCTTTCTTCAATTCTATACCAAGGAATCCCGCAAGAAACCAAGTGGTTATGATGTAATAGTTTCATTCATTAAATGATGAATAAAAAAGATCAAATTTATTTTAATATTTTCCTGTGCATATGCATTTGTGAATATTCTGAAATGGGAGAACTGTTTTGAAAAATGACTTTCTACTGATCTTTATTCAGATGGCCTGTAACATCTATCAGGTGATTCATAGTCTCGTTTTGCTGTATTCTTCACTAACAAATCAGCTGTTTATTCTCCATGAATGTAGTTTAGCTTCTATTCTTCACTAACAAATCAGCTGTTTATTTTCCATGAATGTAGTTTAGCTTCTATTCTTTCATAAGTGAATTGGTTTGGGTGACATCCTGAAGTTGCAGTCAGGAGCCTTCCTCATGATGTATTAGAGGCCCAATCTCAGCGAAAGAAAAGATTCCCTTCTCTTGGAAAGCAAGTGACAGAGATAGAGTGCTAAACCTTCCCCCTTCCCCAGTCCAAGCTGACCTTCTGCGGCCCCTTGGTGCCTCTTGTTTTCTTATTTTTATAGAAAATCAATATCCCTTCTGACACAAACAATAGCTCAGAAGCAAGAATAAATGGGAGAAAGCTGAGATCTCTGTCCATCACCTCTCACTTTAACTCCCCCAAACTCTTTAATTATGAGTGTGCTTTGCTCCAGGTATTTGTGATGGTGAAATTGCTAAATGAGGACCATTTTAACCAAAGATTGGGTGATCAATAACACTCTATAGCAGTAGCTTGTTGGATCAATAGCATTCATTATTTCATGGTTAAGGTAAGTAGCCTCCTTTGCAAGTGGAGGTCATTAATCAAGGGTTACTGGAGCTGTGGAAAAGAATGTATGTGGTAGATTGAGGATGTTCTGTTTTCTGTCTGTAAATAGGGATGCTGACTAAGAATATATTTCCTGCTGTTGCAGATGGTAGTATTACCTTGGAAAGTATGGAATGCTAGCATAGTGTGCGTATGTAGACTTACTCAGAATTCAACCAGAAACAACTGGGAAAGACAGCTTGCAAGGTGGATTTGAAGATCTGTCTTTTGAAGTATTTTGCTTATTCTCTGAGGACAGAGCAGCAAACTAGGACTCGTAGATAGTTCAAAGTATTGTATTATCAGCATGTAGTATAACTTTAGTTCTAGATCATGAGGGATTCAGGCATGGGCGTGGCCACTTACAGAGTTATTGAAAAAGTTAAGCTAAATGACCTTTAAGGTTCCTTGAAGCACTGAATTTTTCAATCATGACTGCCCTACTATTGTAACTTCCACTAGCCTCAACTGCCCACTAAAATACTTTGGAGAATATGAAATATCACAAAGTCACATCTCCAGAAACTAGGATTTAGAGTTTACCGATGGCCAAGATTTCCTCAAACTGCAGGGCTGATGGACCTTGACTGGGGAATGTCGTTAGAAGCCCACATCTACAGTGCTGAGCCTGCCCTGAAGGCCAGATTGTGCATCCAAACTATAATCAGCCCTTGGTTCAGAAATAAAAGATAAATTTCAATCGGAAAATTAGGTAGCTCAGTTTGAAGTAAGTGATGTTCCTCCTCTATTTCCTAACCAGTATCTTTGCATTTCTTTTTGGAAACTGAAACTCCCAGAATACACCTGAATGGAAAACTTAGTTTTCTGTGTATTTGTGTGTTTGTGTGCTTGGGAGTAGGAGGCAGTAACAGCATATTGAGTTTTGAGAGTCATAGAACCTAAGATTAAAGGTTACCATTGTCTGGGCAGAGGAAGAAAAGTCAGTGCATTCAGGAAGTTGTAGTGATTTATATACCTTTATTACACACTCCTGGAATGGGGTCATTATCAGGCAGTGAGGGTTAAAGATGTTTCTCATTCCAGTGTAGCTCTATGAAATAAAAGCCTACGAGTAACACTGGGAATTAGACTAGGGGCTCTGTACATCCTCTTCA